AGCCGCTGAACAACAAAATGTATAGTTTATACTTCTTTTAGCTTATCTGATTCTTTATATTTAAAAGAGGTCTTTTGTAGACATATAGTTGAGTCTACTTTTCAATACTTCAACAAAAAGACTCCAGAACAAGGAAAATTATCAGGAATTAAAAGGATATTTCATAATAAAAACATATAGAACTGAAAGGAGAAATAGAGAAATCTGTTATTCTTATTGGAGCAATGTAACCACTTTTTTAGGCTTCCTTGTTGCAATATATAGTTGCTGTTGCTGTTTAGTTGCTATGTGTGTGTGTGTGTGTGTGTGTGTGTGTGTGTGTGTGTGGATGGGTGTGTAGTTTGAGTTACTTTCCAGAAGCAATTCTGTTAAACAGGCTGTATGTAAAAACTTAACAGTTTTTCTCACCAAGTTTTAGGAATACTATTAACTAATGTATGCATCCACCAGTATATTTGTTAATTACAATTTAGAAACTGTTTAAATCATTTTGATGAAAAACCCAAGACAGGTGATAAAATTTATGTGCTTATAATTTACTCTATTTTGACCTCTCAATTTTTGAATCTCTGTTTCCACATCCTACTGATATATTTTATCATTATAGTAATGGCAAACAACCTAAAGTGAATGAATAAATGAATGAATGAAATCAGAGATGTCTGTGCCCTTCCACTACAATATGAACATTTGGTTATAGCCTAATCTTTAAGACTTATAGTAGTAACTGCCTGTATATGTGAATAGTTTTTAAACAATGAAGATATTTTATATAATTTTTATCACCCTGATAAGGTTTATGTTTGATTGTTTGTTTTAATTAACTGATGTCCATACTCTTCAGTTTTCCTTAGATTTTACCTCACTTCCTTTTTCTATTCCAGGATCCCACTCAAGATAGCACATTGCAGTACATGGCCATGTGTCACTTTGCTCTTCTAAGTTGTGACAATTTCTCAGATTTTACTTGTTTTGGATGATCTTGGTAGTTTAAGGTACACTAGTCAGATTTTTTTTTTTCCCCATTTTGGTCAGATATTTTATAGAATGTCTCTCAGTTGGAATTTACTTGATGTCTTCCTCATGATTAAACTATGTTTATGGTTTTGGGAAGAAGAACACAGAGGCCAGGTCTCATTCTCATTACATCCTGTCAAGGGTAAACACTATCAATATAACTTACCACTGATGATGTTGACTTTGATTATCTGACTTGGGTAGTATTGTTAGGTTTCTCCACTGTAACGTTACTCTCCAGTTCCCCATTACACACTTTACTCTTTGGATGAAAGTCTCTTTGCACAGCCCACACTTAAAAGGATAGAGAATTATGCTCTACCTCCTTGAGTATGAAGTATTATGCAAATTTATTCTTGTACACAAGGAAATAGGTCTGTTCGCTGCCATTATTGATTTCAGTTCAGTTCAGTCGCTCAGTCATGTCCGACTCTTTGTGAAACCATGGACTGCAACACGCCAGGCTTCCCTGTTCATCACCAACTCCCGTAGCTTGTTCAAATGCATGTCCATTGAGTCAGTGATGCATCCAACCATCTCATCCTCTGTGGTCCCCTTTTCCTCCTGTCTTCAATCTTTCCCAGAATCAGGGTCTTTACCAAGGAGTCATTTCTTTGCATCAGGTGGCCAGAGTATTGGAGCTTTAGCTTCAGCATCAGTCCTTCCAATGAATATTCAGGACTGATTTCCTTTAGGATGGAATTGTTTGATCTCCTTGCAGTCCAAGGGACTCTCAAGAGTCTTCTTCAACACCACAGTTACTCAGCAATTAATTTTTATCAAAATGAATTTACACTACCTAAGATTTTTATTAAGTATAATTTCCTATTGATATGAATGCTTTTTGATGGAATTTACTCAGAAAGTAGAAAAACTCATATTGATTCAAAGTTTCTATACTTAATTACTGAGAAAGGTATGCAAATTATCTCAATCAAGCATGCTAAGTTGCTCAGTTGTGTCTGACTCTGCAGCCCCAAGGACTGTAGCCTACCAGGCTCCACTGTCCTTGGAATTTTCCAGTCAAGAATACTGGACTGGGTTGCCATTTTCTTCTCCAGGGGATCTTCCAGACTCAAGGATTGAATCCTCATTTCTTACATCTCCTGTAGTGGCAGGCAGGTTCTTTACCAATGGTGCCACCTGGGAAGCTGAAATTATCTCAAAGAGTCATGTATATNTTTTTATCTTTTATATTTTGTCCTACCTCCCTTCGAAGACAATGGGCTGCTTTTCTGGGCGCCTGATGTCCTCTGTTAGCGATCAGAAGTTGTTTTGTGAAATTTGCTCAGCGTTCAAATGTTCTTTCGATGAATTTGTAGGGGAGAAAGTGGTCTCTCCGTCCTATTCCTCCGCCATCTTGGCTCCTCCTCTCAAATTCAGAATTTTAACTATTTTTCTCAAGGTTTTCAATTTTCTATGACTCAAGAAAAAGTCATTTTTGCTGTTTTCTGTCATTGACCATTTACACTGAATGTTTCCTCAGGGCTTTCTTGATAGTATATTGATAAAGGCTATTTTTTCTCTAATCACCTATTAATATGAATTCTGAACATAATGTCTACATGGATTTTACTGCAATTTCTCAGGAATTTCCTCTTCCACTTTGAAAGCTTTTGATTTGATGTTGGCCATTTTTATTCCTTTAATTTTCCAACAGTAATTATGAGGTTTAAGTTTTATCTCTGTGATCCCCTCCAGCAGCTATTTCAAGATTGACCTTCTTTGACTTCTTTATGCTTATGAGACCTTTGAAGTCCTTTTCTTTCTAATTCTTTCTGAATATCATTGAACTTTTGTGTTAAAAGTGAATTGCTTATTGTGATAGTCACCTTGATTTCTCCTTTGAACTTTCAAAGCTCTGTTTTTCCAATCTTTTCATTAATAACTTGAATTTATATGATTTTTTATCACTGCTATGATTTAACTGATGCAACCATATTGAATATTGGTTATTTGCACAGTACAAAAGATTATTTTTCCTATTACATTATTGTCTTCATCAGCATCATAAACCTGTATTCGTCATATTTGATTTATTTCTTTGACAATAGTGTGTGATATTATATACAACTGTACCTCCAAAAATTGGAAAGGAAATATTTAACCAGAATATATATTTTATATCATACTTTACTTGAGTATATTGATAATTGGAAAAATTCATTTTATATATTCATTGTAATATATAAAATATTTTAGAATTCAACATTTTGTATAGAGGAATGCACTTTTTTAACTTTGCCTCCCAGATACACCCTATTGTCTGCAAAGAATTAGTTATACTATTTGTTCCAAATTGTCTTTTCTTCCTGATATAGTAATGGATATATTTTATATTGTACCTTGTGGGTTCAAAATATATAAAATAGTGAGAAAAAGTAAACACAATTAACTAGTTCATATAATTGCAAATATTTTTGATATGAAATAGTAACAATAATATAAGTTCTAGATTGTTTAGAATAACACTTTGCAAATTTTGGAAATTAAATGCATACTTTTGTTTACCCTTATTGTAATATCTTTTACATATCTGCTACATAAATTTTAATATTTTCCTGTTGTCCTCCTCTCCATGTATCTATTTTAGCAACTAAAGCAGCAAAAAATACGACCTCATACACAGCTGTCCTAATTATGATCAAGGAAAGCTGAAGTCCACGGAGCTTTACCGCTGTAGCTCAGCTGGTAAAGAATATGCCTGCAATGCAGGAGGCCTGGGTTCTATTCCTGGGTCGGGAAGATCACCTGGAAAAAGGAAAGGCTCCCCACTCTAACATTCTCGCCTGGAGAATCCCATGGACAGAGGAGCCTGGCAGGCTACGGTTCATAGGCTTGCAAGAGTTGGACACAACTTAGTGACTAAACCACCACCAAAGTCCATGGAATACTGTTGTTATTTCAAGGGGTGATCTTAAGCATGATAAGGAATATTATGCCATTTTGAGTGAGTGAAGTTACTCAGTCGTGTCTGACTCTTTGCAACCCCATGGACTGTAGCCTACCAGGTTCCTCCATCCATGGGATTTTCCAGGCAAGAATACTGGAGTGGGCTGCCATTTCTTTCTTCAATTATACCATTATAATGATATAGAAACTTTAAACACATCTTTAAAGGTAATTTTATTTTTGCTTATATATCATTTAAACAGGAAGCAAGTTGCTATCTAAGTGTGTATTTCCAAGATGCCTTAAGAAATCCCTTTAATGCTAATGATGGCTAATGGTCACATGAGTGCTGAGGACAGCATTAAAAAGTGATTCAATGATAGAATCATTTTACTTCTGAATTGTATGTACAACAAACATGAAATACTATTTACTGAAATATACCTTATACCAGAGAAAACAATGCATTATATTTTTCCAAGGATGACATTGAAATAATTTACAGATAACTTACTAAAGTCATGACATTAATAAGTGGCACAATAGAAATTTAAATCCATATATTCTCTCAATGAATATACAAATTTAATGATAATTATTATCTTTCTCATTTATTACCTCCACATTCTTGGTATGCCAACTCTTCCTTACATATTTTCCTTCATTTGTTGACTTCAAGAAATCTCAGATTCAAGGTCATTATATCCATTTTATAGGTGAAACAATTGGGCCACAAAGAAGTTGGTAATTTGCTAGATAAGTTTGAGTTGGAATTTAAACTCTGATTTGCCCAAGTGCAAACCATGTGCTAACACTCTTCTGACCAATACCTGAAACCTTCATTCTATTAATAGACTGTGGAAAATTCCACAATAGGCAGTTTTTCTGAACATTTCAGAATAGGGATTTCCCTGCCCAGGCTAAATATTAAGGGGTCGTATGACTAAATAACCTTGAAGGTGCTAAAAGATTAAGATCTAGCAAGTGTATAGTGACCTGACCATAATGAAACTCTCCTTGGAAGGGGGATAAGCAAAGCAACTACATATTATGAAACTATAAGAGATGCCTTATAGCACTTAGACACTTACTTAGAAAAGTATCTGAAATCATCTTGCTTGATTCCAGTTGTGTAGTAGCATGAGTAACCTTCCAACAAAAAGAAATATATTATAATTGAGTAATTAACTGAAAGACATTGGATAAAGGTAGGGTCAAATGACTCATGCAATATATCATAATAGATTGCCCTTATCACTTTAACAGTTAATGCTTTTCAGATGTTTATTTAGTTTGTTTGCTTATTTGTCTATTTCTTTTTTAGATGTTCCTTTATTTGTCCAGTTTATTTATTTATTTTCTGAATTAGCGGTAGATGGGGAAGTTTTGCCTTATGTTAAGGCAGATATGATCTGGAAAAAAATGAATAAAGCTTTCTCTTGGTTTTTTCGTGGGCTTCCCTGGTGGCTTAGATGGTAAAGTGAGTCTAAGATGGATAAAGACAGGTCTGCAATGCGGGAGACCGGGGTTTGATCCCTGGGTCAGGAAGATGCCCTGGAGAAGGAATTGGCAACCCACTCCAGTACTCTTGCCTGGAAAATTTCCATGGACTGAGGAGCCTGGTAGGCTACAGTCCTTGGGGTTTGTTTGCAAGGAGTCAGACATGATTGAGCGACTTCACTTTTCTTGGTTTTCATGATTAAATGACTCATAAATCATGCAAGCAAAATCTATAACATGCACCTCCATTATTCTATATAACTGACTAATTCTACAGTCTTTCATCGTCCTCTTTCTTAATATGTGCTGTCCACTCAGCTGTTCAGTCATGTCCGACTCTCTGCAGCCCCATGGACTATAGCCAGCCAGGCTCCTCTGAAGCCAGATGGCTTCAAAACAGAATGGATTTGGATGTGAGAGTTGGACTATAAAGAAAGCTGAGCGCAGAAAAATTGATGCTTTTGAACTGTGGTGTTGGAGAAGACTCTTGAGAGCCCCTTAGATTACAAAGAGATCCAACCAGTCCATCCTAAAGGAAATCAGTCCTGAGTGCTCACTGGAAGGACTGATGCTGAAGCTGAAACTCCAATACTTTGGCCACCTCATGCGAAGAGCTGACTCATGTGAAAAGACCCTGATGCTGGGAGGGATTGAGGGCAGGAGGAAAAGGGGACAACAGAGGATGAGATGGTTGGATGGCATCACCAACTCAATGGATGAGGTTGGGTAAACTCCAGGAGCTGGTGATGGACAGGGAGGCCTGGCATGCTGCGGTTCATAGGGTTGCAAAGAGTTGGACATGACTGAACTGAACTGAAGACTAATTTCTTCATGCTGTTCTCTTACATACACATACATACGACATCAATACAACCTCATATTTTGACAGGAAAGGTTGTACTATTTAGCTCTAGTATTCAGGATAACTTTGAATTTGTTTCTCAAAATTTCCTGAATTTCCTGTCTCCTAATCGCCAATCATTGCAGTCAATAAGATTTTTTTTTATATGCAAAATCCACTTTCACCTCTTAGACTTGCTTCCAGTGGGATTCCATTGCTCTTCACTTATATGTATCTTACTTATATCTTAGGCTTTTAAGAAGCCCCACTCTCACATCCTTCACAGCTCTCACCCTTCTCTCTCTGCTATTGTCTGTAACTTGAATTTCACATAGAGATATTTAGTTATAATTGTATGGGTTCATGTATGTTCCTTTAGAAGGAATAGTCACTTTATTTTGTGGTCTCACTGGTTTCTGTTATCTCATACATCTTTAATTGATTTCCTGACTGTCGTGTCTGAATACAAACCTATATTAATATAAGAAAGTTCACCTTGAATTACTGTTTGTGGGAAAATGTTGCCAAGTCCTCTGAATGCCTAAACTCTTCTGGGATTTCCCATATTTCCTGATAGCAATAGTACTTAAAGGAATCAAACGTCAGCATTCAAATCATGATGACAGTTGTTAGTCATGACTCTAATATGGTCAATAACTAAAAACTAACATAAAAATTATACTACCTTGTAAAAACTTCTGTTATATGAATGAGTTACATGTGAGAGTTTCAAGCAATTTATTAAAACTGTTCATGAGAGAACTCATTAGAATTATCAAGTGAATAAGAATTTCACCATACAGTATAAATATATATTTATACTACTAAAGGTATCCATTTTTATTTATCACTACATATTTTAAAATAAATAACTATGGCTAGAAAGAATTTATGTATGTACCCACTCCCATGGACTTATCTAGGACATGAATCAGACAGGGCAAATAATAAACATGGTTGGCTTTTTCTCCATTACTCTGAATGAGAAGCCAGGTGAGAAATTCAGAGTTTTTTATTTAATTGAGTCTCAGTGAGCTTAAATGTCTACATGAAAAATGTCAAGAATGGTAAAGGGAAGCTTTGAATGGCTTTTTGATATGCACACATTTTTTTTCCTAGACACATGTGTAAAGGTTATCTGACCTTAGCTTTTCTAGACAAGTCTCCCTCTAACACCTATTCTCATCCGTCCCTTTATCAGTGTTCCCCTTTGGGGATTCTTTCTAAGTTTCTTCATAGAAATGCTTTCATGATGCCACACGGTTGCTTCTTTGAACTGTGTGAAAAGCAGTAATCATACAATATTCATGGAGATCCTAACAACGAGAGCTGTGCTGGAAATAAGGGGTAAAGTTCCACAGATGAAATATGTCTATTTTATACCCATTTGGTGCCAGGTTCCTGATGATTACCTATAAATGGTTTTCTTTGTCACTGTCCTGATGCTCAACATACCTGTTTTCAAAAAGCAGAAATTTAACAGTGAGTGTACTGTGCAGTGGTCTGACCTTCTCATTTTAGAATGGACAGTGTATGACTAATAAATAACTTCCACCCTGCTGCTTAAACACAAAAGGGTTTTGTGTTTCAAGGGTACCAGCATTTAATTAGAAGCCATCTATTGTGAGTGTTCTCCAGTTCCTGAATCTTATTGCTGTTACCGTTGAAAAGAAAATGGTTTCTAAAATGTTAGAACATTTATTTGGGTCACAATGAAATGTTCAGGAGCAATAATTCAGAGGGTAAGTGGTGGTTTAGGTTATATAGGATCATATTCTTCATGCCTAAAATTTTAAGAATTTAGTCACTTGAAATTGAGGCTTTTATTTTGAAATGCTTAACAAGAAAAAGGAAGTTTTTTGGTACTGTTTTTGGTGGTGGGTGGCTTAGTTGCTAATTTGGGTCTGACTCTTGTGACCACATGGACTGTAGCACGCTCCTCTGTCCATGGGATTCTCCAGGCAAGAATCCTGGAGTAGGTTGCCATTTCCTTCTCCAGGGGATCTTCCTGACCCAGGAATCGAACCCAGGTCTCCTGCATTGCAGACAGATTCTTTACCAACTGAGCCACCAGGGAAGCCTGGTAGTGTTTTTAGGGATTACTTTTTCTGCTGATTTGAGACAAGACATTCTGTGGACTAAAATGTTATTTTTAATAGGCAAAAAGTTGAATTTTGAAATTTTATCAAAGCAACAATAGAGACTTTTCAATGAATAAAGACAGTGATTTCAATTGAAAGAAAAGTCCTAATTTTTGTGCTATTAGAGCAATAAATAAATATAAAAGAAATCTCAGTAGTAAAATCACTCTTATTTATTTGACTGTTAGGATCCATTGAGTTACACAGAATGAGCCCTTTACAAATTGTTCTTTGTAATGAGAAAGGTAATTTGGAAATATAAATCACTTGTTTTAAGGTAAATTACCACTTTAATTCTCCAGGGACATTTTATTCACCATTAATGTCTGTACCTTTGACTTTCTTCTATGATTTCTAAAATGTTGTAACCTAACTGAAAGTGGACTCCCTCAAACAGTAATGAATTTGTTTAGAGCCACATATTATGACATGTGCTGTTTACCTGATGATTCAGTCAATATAATCTTTTTTTTTTCATTTATTTTTATTAGTTGGAGGCTAATTACTTTATAATATAATCTTAATGGATGTATAAAGCGGAGTTTATGCATCCAAACATCTGTGTGTGAAAATGAATAGGCCAAGTATATTGTATTAATTAAGCAGGGGGCCTGTGCATTGGAAATTCCTAACTCTTGAGTTAAGGCAAGCTAGTTAATTTCCCAGAGATTTGTATTGCATTTATTACCTGGTTGTGGTAAATAATTAAGTAAGGTTATGCCTGGGAAATTGTAAGCAAAATATTAAGTGACTAATAACTGTTTTTATTATTATTATTTTCTGTAGGTACCTGGCTAAGAAAACCAAGTGCTGCAACACTTCCTATCTCAGGACATGGGATTAGTAGGGAGTTGTTTCCATTTCAGTTATTTCCATTATTGTTAATTCCATAAGGGAAGGGGTCCTCAGTCTTGCTCACTGTGGTATTCACAAGGAACATGTGCTCAACAAATATTTATCAAATGAATGAATAAAAAGTTAATAAATTAAAAATATACTTTCAAAACACTATACATTAAATGTAGACGATGAAATGTATATTAAATGCAGGATAATATTGAGTCTTTTAAAACACTGAGATAAAATTGGAGGCTTTTGCCTGAGCATAATTATCCACAATTAAGAAAAATATATATTGTCCTATAGAATAAGAGGACTTTTCTTGTGGCTCAGCTGGTAAAGAGTCTACCTGCAATGCAGGAGACCTAGGTTCGATCCCTGGGTGGGGAAGATCCTCTGGAGAAGGGAAAGGCTACCCACTCCAGTATTGTGGCCTGGAGAATTGCATGGACTGTATAGTATATGGGGTCACAAAGAGTCTGACACGACTAAGTGACTTTCACTGGGCTTCCCTGGTGGCTCAGAGGGTAAAGCATCTGCCTGCAATGCAGGAGACCTGGGTTTGATCCCTGGGTTGGGAAGATCCCCCTGGAGAAGAAAATGGCAACCCACTCTGGTACTTCGCCTGGAAAATCCCATGGATGGAGAAGCCTGTAGGCTACAGTCTATGGTAGGCTACAGTCTATGGTAGGCTACAGTCTATGGTAGGCTACAGTCTATGGGGTTGCAAAGAGTCCGACATGACTGAGTGGCTTCACTTTCTCTTTCACAGAATGAAAAACACAGGAATAACTTCTGAGGCGCATTTGTTTTATAATGTGACATACAAGTAGAGACCAGAAAGATGCAGACTTCCTACCTCAAATTCCTGTACCCTTCACAGTGCAACTAATTAACCTCCAGCAGTAGGTTTAATCCCTTCCTAGGCTATGAGACCAGGTTTGTTCCTAGGCCAATGCCATCCAAGCAGCCTTAAGTTACCTTGTAAACTTCAAATCACTACCAGTTTTACCATAGTGCCTAGTTTTCCCCAGAATTCCCAATTCTTTAAGGATTTGACTACTGGAGGGATAATAATTAAGACAACAAGAAGTTCATCTGAGGGGCTTTATCTTGATACTGGGATCACATTTCATTTTCCCCCTTTCAAAATTTTTGGTCCTAACTGTTTCTCCCAGAAGGCTGGTTTACAACTAACTTTGGATTTGTAATCTAGAGTATCTTTCTCATGATAAGGAAGTGAGTGTTGTTCCTACAACATGATATCTTTGATGAATTCATTAGAGTTTTTGATCTTGTTCTTACAATTTGGGGCTTCCCAGGTGGCTCAGTGGCAAAGAATCTGCTTGTCATTTCAAGAGATGTGGTTTGATCCCAGGGTCAGGAAGATTCCCTGGAGAAGGAAATGGCAACTCACTCCAGTATTCTTGCCTGTAAAATATTATGGACAAAGGAACATGGTGGGTCCATGAGGTCACAAAGAGTTGGACACAACTTAGCAATTAAATAATAACCTGTAATCTACAATATATCTCATCCTCTGTTGTCCCCTTCTCCTCCTGCCCCCAATCCCTCCCAGCATCAGGGTCTTTTCAAATGAGTCAGCTATTCCCATCAGGTGGCCAAAGTATTAGAATTTCAGCTTCAACATCAGTCCTTCCAATGAACTGGGGAGAGTCAACTGCAGACCATCCTGTCTTTGAGGGGAGGCGTACCCATTGCTGCAGAGCTTTCCTCTGGAAGAAGGGGGACTTCGCTCTGTCTTCCAGGGCAATGTGGTATAGAAATGAGCATTTTTCATCCTCCCAATCCTCTCACTTTCTCCTCTCTGTAAGGGGAGCCATGTTTTTTTTTCAGGGGAGAAGCTATGATGTTAGGATGAGAACCAAACACCCATTGGGCCATGTTAATCAATGAAAAGTTTCCTCTAANTTTTTCATCCTTCCAATCCTCTCACTTTCTCCTCTCTGTAAGGGGAGCCATGTTTTTTTTTCAGGGGAGAAGCTATGATGTTAGGATGAGAACCAAACACCCATTGGGCCATGTTAATCAATGAAAAGTTTCCTCTAACCACCCCCCCCCCATACACACACAAAGAAAACAATACACAAAACAAGAACCTTCTCTGAAAATCTCTGTTCTTCCAGGAAGGACTGAATTATCCATTAAGCACAGTAGTTGCATTGTCTAGGGCATACAGTACTTCTAGGGGCCCACAAAAAAATGTCTTTACTTCTTTTAAAATTGGAAGAAAATAATAAATTTTAAGCTGAAGGAAATATTTTAACACATAGTACAGTACATTTCCTGGAGTAGGAAATGGCAACCTGCTGTAGTATTCTTGCTTGGAAAATTCCATGGACAGAACAGCCTGGTGGGCTACAGTTTATGATTCTGCACAAGAGTTGGACATGACTGAGCACACGAACACATAGTATATTTATATTTATATTGATGCAGTCACATGTTGCCATAAAGGCAATCTGTCTAGGGCTCACAGAAGTTATAAGGCAGCTCTGATTCCAGGTTTGTGAAGCAGGCAGAGATTTTTCCAGATGACCAGGTGAGTAAATTCCTAATCCCACAAATCTAACACCAGGTTAGATTCAGGAGTAAGCAGTTACAAATTTCATTTTGGCCTCAAATCTTAGCCATTGGGGCTTTCCCAGTGGCTCAGAAGTAAAGAATCCACCTGCAATGCAGGGGATGCAGAAGATATCCCTGGGTTGTGGTGGGTTCAATCCCTGGGTTGCAACCCACTCCAGTTTTCTTACTGGGAAAATATCATGAACAGAGGAAACTGGTGGGCTACATTTCATAGGATTGCAAAGAGTCAGACACAACTAAATTGACTGAGCACCTGGCCCTTACTTCTAAGAATGTATAATAATGTTAAGTATAATAATGTGGACTCTTGAGAGTCCCTTGGAAAGCAAGGAGATCAAGCCAGTCAGTCTTAAAGGAAGTCAGCCCTGAATACTCTTTGAGAGAATGACGCTGAAGCTGAAGCTCTAATACTTTGGCTTCCTGATGTGAAAAACTGACTCATTGGAAAAGACCTTTGATGCTGGGAAAGATGGAAGGCAGAAGAAGAGGGCAATGGAGGATGAGATGGTTGGATGGCATCACCAATTCAATGGACATGAATTTGGGCACATTCCGGGAGATGGTGAGAGGCAGGGAAGCCTTGCATGCTGCAGTCCATGGGGTCCTGAAGAGTTGAACACAACTTGGTGACTGAACAACAACAACAACAAATAATAATAATAATAAAAATAATGTGACATTATGGAGTCTTCAGTTCTGGCCAGATCAAAGATTTACATTCAGTGTGAATGGATTCTAGACCTACTTCTACTTTCTTCTAGAAACCAGGATACTAAATCCATGGGCTAAATCCATGACAAAATGTCCCTCTCTCTTCCCTACATCATCCCTCACATATATGTGCAAACATAATATGGGATTGGAATAGAGACACAAAACTGAGAAGCAGCCAGCTGAAGACCAAAGTTTGCTGGTTAACCAAGAGACAAATATTTTTCTTAAAATAGAAAATAGCAGGTGTTCAATAGGGTAATAAAGAGAAGCAGTGTCCTTTTAAAATTCACCTGATTCAAAAATAAAACAATTAAGAATGTGAAACCTGATTGCACACAAGATTTTTAAATAATGTTATGCTTCATAATAATGACCCTGCAAAAAATAACATTCTTGCATAGATTCATGTGTAACAATAACTTAGTACCTAAAGTAAAGGCAGGGAAGACATGGTCTAGATGGCACAAGAAGAGAAATCTAGACCAGAGGGACTGTACCCTTAACCATATCTGGCTAAGGGCCTAGAAATGTCAAGTTAGAAATGCAAAAACCATTTAGAAATTAGTGTGAAAAAGTTAGAAATTAATGTGAATACTTCCCTGGACCAGTGGTTAAGACTCAGCTTCCACTATAGGAGGCACAGATTTGATCCTTCATCAGTGAAGTAAGATCCCAGATGCCTCAGACCACAGCCAAAAAACAAACAAAAAAACCACTAAAGAATACCTAAAGCCTGTGATATAACTACTATGCCTATTTTACCACTATATTAATAGAAGACTCAATAATTTTATGCTAATCATTGTTTTTATCTTTGTGAAGCCTAAAATTAATAATATGACACCTGAAGTTTGAGTCGCAAAATTTTGCCAATCACAAAGAAAATAAAAAGAAAACAAAAATCTCACTCTAGCAGTCTTCCAAGAATAATTTAAATGAGAAAAAAATGCATCTCTTTTTTATTTGTTCCTTCAGTTCCTGATTAGGAAATGTATCATGCAAACTATTATAAATGACTGACACACACACATACACACACCGGTTTCATGTAGATTTTAGTCAGAGCATATATCTATGCATAGGAGCAATTGGCCTTTAGCCTTTGGAGTCAGTAACTCATTCTTGGATTGTGTTGTAATTAACTACTGTTGCCTTGCTAAAGTAACAAAAGAGAATAAACATTCAACAAAAACTTGGTAAATAGTTGAATATTGAATAACTTCCATTGTCTAATATGATCATTGGAAAGATTAGTTTGTTACTACCTGACAGTTTTGCCAAAAAAAACAAATATCTTGCCTGTGTAACTAGACTTTTTTTTCCAGATACAATTCTGACAGTAATATATAGCATGTTAATCTGTAAACTACCATCTTTTTGAAATCCAGAGCAATTCTTATAGTTTGTCAGTAATCACCACTTAGATTTTCTAAGTAAATGATATTATCTTCAAATGATGACACATTTTAAAACTACTTTTTAAAATTCCACATCTCTGAAATATGAATGCAACTCTAGAGGTACCTTCACATTGATAATGTGGAAAAATTATAGATTTTTTGTGACAAATGTTAAGCAAGGGAGAGTAGCGTGTTTTGAGCAAGGAACCAACTTTTCTAGAACGGTATGTCCAGTTTGGATGGGGGAGTCAGATATGCATGATTGCGGGTCTGATGTCTTTTTATTTTATTCATCTTGACATGTTGTTTCTACCACTTGTAGTTTTATATTCTTCTTTTGAAGTATCCTTATTTGTGAACTTTTAATTTTCATGAATAAACTAGAAGTATGAGTGTAGAGTCTGCTTTGCTTTCCCGTGCATTCCCAGAAAACTTGATGAGATCAACTTTAATATTGTGGATGTTAAAAGTACTGGATAAATGTAATTGACTGCAATTGAGTTGAAATTTAAATGGTTGAGTAGAGGATATGAAGCAGCGTATCATATTAGCTAAGGCCAGACCATTTTCTTAAATCAGGTTCATTTCCAAAGCTCCCTCATTATTGCCTTTTCCTGAAGGGCCCTTTGCAAGAGGTGAAGAGGAGCTAGTAAACCCTTACCAGTCAAAAGACAAGCTTCAGCATCAGGAAGGATGAGCTACTTATTCACCTGAGCAAGCTTTGTGAGCCAACAGTACTCAACCTATTAGCAATTCTGTAGATTAGAAATACCTCTTTCTGCTAACACAAAAGGAGACTCAGGCCACCACAGCTCCTGGCACAAGCATTCCTATAATTATGAACTTCCTAATTCTGGAAGCTTTTTCAGTTAAGCCTGTGATTTCATATACTTGTTTATTTTCAAATTCATTTGGTCGCAAAGCCTCACTATATGTGATGGCTCCAGCAGTGCCTGGCAGGGAATTTAGGGATTGGGAATAATGAGATATTTTCCATGCATGAAGGAAAAAATAGTGCGTTTTCAGTTCCAGCAACTATGCATGCTATACTCTATATTCACATTCTGTTCAGACCGACGAGTCTGCAGAGCAGTGCATTGGGCTGTGCTCTTTTCAGCCTGACAAACAGCAATTTGGTGCAGTTGGAACTTCTTATTAAGCTGTGGAGTGTTAGGGAGTCCAGGGCTAATAGAATTCTCCCAAATGATTGGCTGAAGCATTTGTGTTAGCTTAATTGTACATTTGCCCTTTGACTAAAATTAGGGATTAAGTTTCCTCCCTGGGACCTTCATCTTAAGTTAGTAAGAAGTTAGACTGCACATTCTAATTAGATCTTTTCTATCTTATACTGCCATGGGGATTTTACCTTGACAACAGCACACAGTTCCATTATGTTCTCTTTTAGAAATGAGTTTCCCTTTCCTACTTTATTTAAGGCTGTGTCTGTCATACTAACAGCAGCTCACTGGCTGGGACTGTACAGTGGCTAGGAGGGTGGCTAGCAGTTGAGTTGTGGGCATGCTGCCTAGCACCTTTCACATCCCCTTATTCATTATGTCAGCTTTAATGCAGCATGGCTGTGTTCTAACAAAGACAAGCTCTGAGGATCTCAGTGC